TTTTTTAAAAATTTTAAAAAAAGAAAGCAGGCTGAGCATGGGCCAGGGGAGCAGCCAGTAAGCAGCGTTCCTCCACGGGCTGTGCTTCAGCTCCTGCCTCCAGGTCCCTGCCCTGAGTTCCTGCCTTGGGCTCCCTCAGTGATGAACTGTGACCTGGGAGATGTGAGATAAAATAAACCCTTTTCTTCCCAAGTTGGTATTGGCCAGAGTATTTTATCACAGAAATGGAGAAACAAGCTAAAACACATATCAAACACCACATACACACACCTGCATATTCAGTGTGCATTCACAATATATAGTACACACATCACACATACTACATACTTCACACACCACACAACATACACAGACACACACCACACACCACACACCTACACTACATACCACATATACACACACTACACACACCATACCATACATATATACTACACACCATATATACATATACATACCACATACCATACACATATACTACACATCACATACACTATACGTATATACACTACATACCCACACACCCCAAAAATACATTAAAAATGTAAAATCAAAATATTTTTCTGGGCATGGTGGCTCATGCCTATAATCCCATCACTCAAGAGGCTGAGGCAGGAGGATTGCTGTGAGTTGGAGATCCATGTAGTCCACAATGTGAGACCCTGTCTCAAAAAAATTCAAGAGCCAAAAGGATGGCTCAGTGGGTAAAGATACTTTCTGCCAAGCATGATTACCTAAGTTTGATCCCGGGGATCATGTAAAGAGAGAATTGACTCCTGCAAGCTGTCCTCTGATCTCTGATCTCCACTCAATATATACGAATAAATTGCTTAAAATATTTTTAAAATTTAAAGACTGAACTGGTGGTACATGCCTGTAGACCTTATACTTGGGAGACTAAGATAGAAAGACAGTAAATTCAAGATCAGCCTCTGCTACATAGCAAAGTTCTAGGCCAATCTAGGCTACACAGCAAGATTCTGTCCTTAAAAAAAATGCAGGGCTGGGCGTGGTGGTGCATGCCTTTAATCTCAGCACTCAGGAGGCAGAGGCAGGCAGATTTCTGTGAATTCAAGGACAACCTGGTCTACATAGGGAGCTTCAGGCCTTCTGGGGCTATAGGGAGACCCTGTCTCAAAATGACCAAAAAGAAAAAAAAATTAAATGCAGCCTGGAGAGATGGCTTAGCAACTTAGAAAACTTGCTGTTCTTGCAGAGGACCCAGCTTCAAATTCCACCACTCACATAGCAGTTAATGACCCTCTGTAACTCCAGTTCCAGGGGGTCTGATCACTGTCTTCTGGCATCTGCAAGATTGCATGACACAGGTATACTTACATACAAGCAGGAAAAACACACACATAAAATAAAATAAATAAAATATATTTTTTTAAAATTAAATGCGGGCTGGAGTGATGGCTCCGCAGTTAAGAGAACATACAGAAGACCCAAGCCTGGTGTCCAGCACCCACATCAGGTTGCTCACAACTGCCTGTAATTCCAACTCCAGAAGAATCCAGCACCTCTGGCCTCTGCAGGCACCTGCACTGACATGCACACACACCCCCACATGCACATAAAAATAAAATCTTTTTAAAAGATTTTATTGCTGGGTGTGGTGGCGCACACCTTTAATCCCAGAACTTGGGAGGCAGAGATAGGAGGATCTTTGTGAGTCTGAGACCAGCCTGGTCTACATAGTGAGTTCCAGGACAGCTAGGGCTACAAGGAGATCCTGTCTCAAAAAAAGACAAAAAAAATAATTTATTATTTTCATTTTATGTAAATGAGTATATTGCCTGCACGTATGTAAGTGCACCCACGTTGTGCAATGCCCTTGGAGGTCAGAAGTGGGTGTTGGATTCCCCTGGAACTGGAGTCATGGACAATTGTTAGCCATCATGTGGGTGCTGGGAATTGAACTCAGATCCTCTGCAGGAGCAGCCAGTGCTCTTAACCACTGAGCCATTTCTCCAGCCTCCAAAATAAAATCTTTTTAAAAATTAAATGTGCCAGGGCTGGAGAGATGACTCAGTGGTTAAGAGTACTGGCTACTCTTGCAGAAGACTTGGGTTTGAGTCCAAGCACCGACATGATGATTAACATGTAACTACAGTTCCAGGAGACCTGAGGACACTCTCTTTTGGCCTCCGCAGGCATGAGTATACTTACATACATGCAGGCAAAACACTCATACACATAAAATGAAAATAAAATAAATAAAAGTGCCTTTATTCTCTGATAGGTATAAAGGTATCAAAATACTATCCTTGCTGGGCATCATGGGATATGCCTAAAGTTTCAGCTTTCAGGAGGCTAAGACAGAAGAACTGAGTTCTAGACAGTCCTCAGCCACATAGCAAGACAGACCCTGTCTCAAAACAAACAAATCCAAAATCCTTTATTTTAAAACTATAGATGGATTTTTTTCACAGAGACACTGGTGACAGACATTTACCCCATCATTCAATTGATTGCTGAAAGGATATCCTCAAACTCATACTTAGGATAAATTTTTTTACTTAAAATCAATTTTGTTGTTCATTTGTTTTGTTTTTAACAGTCTTGTATGTAATTTGAATTTTCCTGGAACTCCCAATCCTCCTGCCTCAGCCTCTACAGTGCTAGAATTGACATGTATGTGGCACCTCGTCTGGTTTTTGCTACCTAAAAAAAGATCCTGGGGGCCAAAGAGATGACTGCCATTAAGTGTATTAAGTGTGCAAGTCTGGTTCCCAGCACTCACATCTGGCAGTTCATACCCACCTATAACTTCAGCTCCAGGAGATTGATGCCCTTTCTGGAATCTTTGAGCACTAGCACATGCACACACATACACACACACACACACACACACACACACACACACACATAAATAAAAAGAAAAAAATCTTTAAAAATAAGTTCTGGCCAGACATGGTGGTGCACGCCTTTAATCCAAGTATTTGGGAGTTAGAGGCAAGGCAGATCTCTGTGAGTTTAAGGCTAGCCTGGTCTGCATAGTGAGTTCCAAGCTAGCTGGGACCACAAGAGAGGCTGTCTTTAAAAGATGAAAAAAAAAAATGTTCTTAAATGCCTATCAGTCAGGCATAATGGCACATGCCTGTAATCCTTGCACTTGGCAACTTGGCAGGCAGAGGCAGGAGTATCAGGAGTTCAAGGTCATCCTTGTCCACACAGTGAGCTGAAGGCCAGCCTAAGCTACAAGAGACCGTCTCAAAAAGAAGGAAAAAAAGCATTCTCTGGAGCAGTGGACATGCATATAATAACTTAAGGATGTCCTAAAAGTGAAGATTTCAGATTCAGGTCTGAGGAGGCACCTGAGATGAAATGGTTTTGGGGAGACCCTTGGAGATGCTGATGCTGCTGCTGGTCCAGAAGCTCAGCACCCCCAGCATGGCTCCTTAGCCCCACCCTAGGCTTCCTAACTTAAAAGGCCTGGGTGGAATATACAACACTAGCCTTCTAGCATCTTCCTAGGTGATGATGATGCCTTCCTGGGATCACACTTAGAACCATTGCTGTCCAGGAGAGATTCCAGACTGTAAGAATAAAAACCTGGGATTAGCCTTGCTTTTTTACCAACTGGCCCAATGACTCTGTCAGGCAGGAATGCATTCATCTGCAATCAACAAAATGCCCTATTAACAGTAGCTTAAGCAAACAGCACACTGTGCCTTGTTTTTCATACTTGTTAAGTCCAGGAAGTCAGCAAGAACATGTGGTCTGCTAGAGTTTGGATCTTGAATGTTCCCTAAAGGCGTGTATGTGAAAGCCTGGTCCCCTGAGTGCACTGTTGGAAAGTAGTAGGGTCATTAAGATTAGGGTTAATAAACCCGAGAGAGACATGCCTCAGTGGGTGAGAGAGCTTGTCCTGCAAGCTTGACAACTTGAGTTCAATTCCTGGAACTTATAGAGGAGGAAGAAAGAAAATTGACTTCTTTTTTTTTTTTTTTTTTTTTTTTTTTTTTTGTCTTTTTGAGACAGGGTCTCTGTGTAGTCCCAGCTGGCTTGGAATTCACTATGTAGACCAGGCTGGCCTTGACTCACAAAGATCTGCCTGCCTCTGCCTCCCAAGTGCTGGGATTAAAGGCATGTGCCACCAAACCTGGCTGAGAAAACTGACTTCTAAAAGTTGTCCTCTGACTTTCACATGTGTGCCATGGCATAACACACCCTCACTCACAGACAATAATTAATTAATTAATTAATTAAAGCAAAATAAAAGTATGTAGGAAAACTGAACCAGGCCTTGTAGTTTAAGGCCTGTAATCTTAGCACTTGGGAGGTGGAGACACAGGATAACTTCAAAACCATCCTTAGCTACATAGCAAGTTTGAGAACCTATGCTATGTAAGACCCTGTCTCCAAAAAAACAAAAAAGGAGCTGGAGATGTAGCTCAGTGCTCAGTTAATAAATTGCCTGCCCTAGAATGCACGAAACCCTAGGTTTGATCCCTAGCACCAAGTGAAAACTAGATGTGGTGGTGAACACTTATAATCCTAGTACTAAGTAGTGGAGGCAGGAGATCCGAAGTTCAATACTGTCTGGCTATATAGTAAGATTCAAGCCTCCCTTGGCTACATGAGACCCTGTCTTTTTTCTTTCTTTTTTTTTTTTTTCTTTTTTCCTTGGTCTTTTTGAGACAGGGTCTCCCTGTAGCACCAGCTATCCTGGAACTCACTATGTGGACCAGGCTGGCTTTGAACTCAGAGAGATCCACCTGCCTCTGCCTCCCAAGTGCTGGGATTAAAGGTGTGCACCACCATGCTCAGCCTCCGAGACCTGTCTTTTAAAAATGTATTTATATTTTATTTATTATTTTTATTTTATGTGTATGAGTATTTTCCCTGGGTGTATGTAAGTGCACCCATGTCGTGCAGTGGCCTCGGAGGTCAGAAGAGGGCGACAGATCTCCCGGAACTAAAGTTTATAGCACACTATTAGCTGTAACTGCTGAGCCATCTCTCCAGCCCCTGAGACCCTGTCTTAATAAAATAAAAAGACTAGAGTCACATCTTGACATGATTACTTGTCCTGGTGTGCCAGAGTTCTCAAAGAGGATCTGCTGGTCTTGGTTCACTGGTCGGGGCAGTCAGTACCCCTATTGGTGCCCTGATCAGAAACATCCTACCTGAATCTAGAGAGTCTGGATGGCAGCCTCCTTACTCAAGCTTGTCAGGGAGTTGGTACCTACTGTATTGTGCTATAAATCTTGTTCTTTTCTTTGAGGGCTACTACAAAGTTCTGGGGAAGGGAAAGCTCCCTAAGCAGCCTGTGATTGTGAAGGCCAAATTCATTAGCAGATGAGCTGAGAAGATTATGGGTGCTGGGGGCACCTGTGTCCTGGTGGCTTGAAGCCACACAGGGAGGTTCATTAAATGCTAACATTGCTTTAAAAAAAAAAAAAAAAAGCCAGGGCTGGACATGCCTTTAATCCCAGCACTTGGGAGGCAGAGGCAGGCAGATCTCTGTGAGTTCAAGGCCAGCCTGGTCTACATAGTGAGTTCCAGGACAGCTGGGGCTACAGAGAGACCCTGTCTCAAAAAGAACAAGAAAAAAAAAAAATGTCAGGGCTGATAGGAAGTCATTAGGGCATGGAGGTACGCTCTTGAAAGGGAATGTGGGAACCTGGCTCCTTCCTCTATTGTTCCTTTACCATGAAGTGAGTAGGCTTGTTCTAACTCTAGCTTCCACCATGATGTGCTAGCTCACCACAGGCCCAAAACCATAGGGCCCAACCAGTTATGGATTGGGTCCTCGAAACTGTGAGCCAAAGTAAACCTTTCTCTTTATAAATTAAGTTCTCAGTTATGTCACAGTGTGACTAATCTAGGTTGCCAACTTGACTGGATCTGGAATGAACTGAAATGAGAGAGCTTTCTTGATTGTATTATTTGAAGCCAATAGACCCACCCTAAATGGGGGGGATACCTTCTGCTGTCAGCTGATATAAAAGGTCGTGGCAGAAGGGAGCATTTACTTTTTCCCAGCTGCCTTCCTACGCGATAGCAGTTTCATCTTGTTGCTGTGGCATTCCTCTGCTGATAGTAGAACCAGCTCCTTTGTATTCCAACATAGACTGAAGACTAGCAGACCTCCAGAAATCCTTCAGGCCTTCAGGGCCAGATTGGGACTGCTGAGACATCCAGCCTCATGGACTGAGTAACTACCTACCTTATTCTCAGCCTCTCCAGTGTGGTACAGCCATTGTTGGGCTACTCAGACTCTATCCTGTAAGCCAAGCAATGAATCCCCACATATTCAGATTCATTTTATCAGTTCTGTTTCTTTGAAGAACTCTGACCAATTTATACACACGGCAACAGAAAGCTGACCAACACACAATTGTGCCATTATCACTGACATGTGAATTTAGTGCTCATAGGCATGATATGGCTATAGAACCAAGTTCCAAGCAGAAAGAGGGCAGTGGATGGAGCAAAGGGTGAAGGGGGACCCAGCTTCACTATTATTGTTGTTGTTGTTGTTGTTATTTAGACAAGGTCTTGCTATGTCTCCCAGGCTGGCTTCAAACTTGTAATCCTCCTGCCTCAGCCTCCCATGGCCACCACGCCCAGTTTTATTGCTACTTCAAACCGATACTATTTTGTTTTGTTGAAAAAACTCTCCCCCTTCGAGGCCCCTGCTACCCAACCCTACCACTTTCTGTGTCAGACTGTTCTAGTAATCTTTTTCATTTTTTTTCAAGGAGGGCAATTACAAGCAGAATCAAGTACCAGATCCTCTGGCAACAGAAGCTCATACAAGTTGAGAGAGAGAGAGAGAGAGAGACTGGCCAGAACATTTCAGGCATTTGAGTTCAAACAATGCAACTGTGAAGGTTCCTAATTGGGAGATGTTCTAGTTTGTTTCTCCATTACTGTGAAAAAATACTCTGACCAATACCAACTTGGGAGGAAAGGGTTTATTTGTCTTACATCTCCCCAGTCACAGTTAAGCAAGGGAGCCCAAGGTAAAAACTCAAGGCAGGAATCTGGATGCGGGACCTAGAGCACAGGCCACAGAGGAACGCTGCTTACTGACTTGCTCCCCTGGCCTGTGCTCAGCCTGCTTTCTTATACAACACAGGCCCACGTGCCCAGGGGTGGCACCACCCACAGTGCCTGGGCCCTCCCACATCACTCAATAATCAAGAAGATGCCCCCCAGATGTGACCACAGGCCAGTCCAATGGAGGCAATTCACCAACTGAGGCTCCCTCTATCCAGATGTGTTAAGTTGACACTAAAGCTTTCCAGCCCAGGAGAAAAGGAAGACAGCTGGGGCTTTCTACTTCCTGAACAGGCCACCAGTGTGGCAGGGGATTTGTGGGTTGATGAAAGGGTGTTGCCAACCAGAGAAGAGAGAAGACAAGTTTAGTGCCCTTCAAAGAGCAGAGGGCATGGCAGTAACAGAACTGCCTGCCTGCCGCACCTACCTTCAAGTCACTCCTCATTCACTGGAGACTTCCCACACTAAGCCTCCCCTTCAGCCTTGGTGACTTGCACATCCTCATGGGTAGTTCTGGTTGGACTGGCTGTTTCTTGACCTTCTTGCCTCCGATGCCCTTCACAACTTCTCTCCTTCAGTGACCCACACTGTGGCTTGATCCCGATACTGGCCTTAATACTAGTCCTTGACCCTAAGCTTTCAAACTTTATTTTATAGATTTGTTTATTTTAAAGATTTATTTATTTATTATTTATTAATTTATTTATTTTGAGACAGGTTCTTACTGTATAGGCCTGGCTGGCCTGGAATTGGAAATTACCTCAAACTTGTAGAGATCTGTTCACCTCCCAAGCACAGGCGTATAATCCTCCCAATTACAGGAGTATGCCACCACACCCATCTTATTATTATTTATGTGTATGTATGTGTATCTGTGTGGGGATATGTGCATATATGTTAAAGGGCCCCTGGAGGCCAGAGAGTGCTCTAAAGCTGGAGTTATAGGTGGATGTGAGCCACTTGATCTGGGTACTGGGAACTGAACTCAGGTCCTTTGGAAGAGCAGCAAGTGCTCTTAACCTCTGACCCATCTCTCTTCTTAAATTTTAATTAATTAGAGTGTATGTGTGTGTGTGTGTGTGTGTGTGTGTGTGTGTGTGTGTGTGTGTGGTGTGCTGGGAACCAAACCCTGGTCTGTGAGAGCAGCCGGTACTCTTAAGCACTGAGCCATCTCTCCAGGCCTTACCCCAGCTCTTAACCTTCAACTTGACAGGTTATTCCTGTGCCTCCACTTCCTGCACCTCCATTTCCTCCTCCTTCTGTTCTTCCCAGCATTGCTTTCCTGCTTCTAAACCATCTGCAGCTCCCTGGTTTCACATTCTTCTCCCTGAAGCTACACTGACCCAATCCACCCCTCCTTTTTTCCCTTCACCCCTTCATCTTCGACTTGCCCTCCTGATGAACCCCAGGATCTGGCTCTAGCTGCCTGCCAGCTCTCTTACTCCTCCACTTGAGCAGCTGAGCACAGATCAAGACAGGGCACACCCAAGCAGCAGGCGGTTGCCATGCCAACACGGTCTCTAACCTCCCATCCTCCTCTTTGTCTACTCCCTGGGCTAGGAGTCCTGAGCTGTCCTTGTCAGCTCTCTTCGGTTTCCTACCTTTTCATCCCTCCCCTCTCATCCTCTCTAAGGAGAACTTCACTCCTACTTGACAGTGAAAATAGAAGCCATCAGGCTGAAGCCCCCTCAACTTCCTGTCCCCCACCACCACCCTACTGAATCCTTTATTTTTATCCACACTTATCCTTTCCTCCCTTTGATTGTGGGAAAGATTTCCTTCCTGTAGTTAATCCCTCCACCTGAGCCCTCCATCACAGCAGTTCCACCTCCTTAGGGACCTTGGTGGCGCTCCCAATCATGTCATGGAAGTCTCTCCTGTGTTCTAAAAAGCCAGGTTCCCAACACCACATTCCTGTTTCTTCAGGACACACCTTCCCTTCTTGTTTCCTTTAGAGTTAACTTTTTCAGACCATAGAAACCTTCTTCTGCAATTTGGTGGATACTATTTGACTGCATAAAATAATAGACATAGAATTACCATGGAAACCCACTGTATTGTAAATACTGTTACAATATTTGTAAATTTTATGACAGTCTCTTTGTCTCTGTCTCTCTCTTTGTGTGTATAAGTGTAAGCCACAGGATGGCTTGACTTTGGGTGTTATGGTCTTCAGGCACAGTCTACTTTGTTTTTTGAAACTGGCTACTTGCCAGTTTAAGCTAGCTGTCTGGCCAACGTGTCCCAGGGATCCTCCTGTCTCCTCCTTTCCAGCACTGGAATTGCAAGTGTGCACCACCATGCTTAGCTTTTTATCTTATATTATTTGCATGTGTGCGTGTGTGGTACATGTGTATGTATGAGCTCCTTTATGCAGAGGCCACAAGAGAACATCAGGTGTCCTCTATCACTCTCTGCCTTGTTCCTTGTGTGTGTGCATAACATGGCACACTTCTGGAGGTCAGAGGACAACTTGCAGGAGCCAGTTCTCTCCTACTATGTGGAACTTGGGGATCGAACTCACATTGTCAGGCTTGACAGCAGGCACCTTTATACACTGAGCCATTACCTTGGTCCCACAACAAGCTTTTTAAAAATGTGGGTGCTAGGAATTTGAACTCACATTTGCACAGCAAGTACTCTTACCTACTAAGCTATCTTCCCAGCCAGTCCCCATGCCCAGCTTTGTACATGGGTTCTGGGGATCAAATTTGGGTCCTTATGTTTTTGTGGACAGTTGTTTTACTTCTGTCTATGCTAGCTCCCCAACACCACAATGTTTTGATATGATAATAAATAGGCTTCTTTTATTTTTATTATTTTTTTTTATTTTTTATTTATTTATTTATTGGTCTTTTTGAGACGGGGTCTCCCTATATACTCAGGTAGCCTGGAACTCGCTATGTAGATCAGGCTGGCCTTGATCTCACAGAGATCTGCCTGATTCTGCCTCCTGAGTGCTAGGATTAAACCACCTGGCTTATTTTTAACATTTATTTTGTTTTTAATTATGTTCAGGTGTGTGTGTCTCAGTATGTGTGTATGTGTATGAGTGCAGATGCCTATGGAGTCCAGAAGAGAGCATTGGATTCCCTGGAGCTGGAGTTACAGGTGGTTG